TATATATATATATATATATATATATATATATGGAGTTCAATTAATTAATCTAATGAATAACAGAGTTTGAAGAGAGTGCACGTTATGGCTATTGATTTATATTTGCGTTATCTCAATTTCTAAATACTGTAGATGGCACAAGGACAGAGTTTGAGCGATGAAGGAGACTAATTCACGTTAGGCCATCAATGTGGTGTCTTTTCAAATTTGCTACTCCAAATTTTAAATCTTTATTTAACTATCATCAAAGTGAGGTTTTAAGTTTTTTATTGATGGGAATTGCTTTTATTAGTTTATTTTGCAAAAATTTTTTTTGGTTTTTAGCAGCAGATTTACTTTTTTTTTTCGAAGTCAAATCTAATTTATCTATTTTTACTTTCTTACTTTTTAGTAGTTCTTATTTTCCTCTTTGTTTTTTATCTTTGATGAAATAAACTGAAGATTTGAACATAGTGTTTGGCGTCGTAACAGTAGAAGGATTTTAGGTTTGGCATAAGCAGTGTTTTAAATGTACAGTATGTGGGATGACGCTGAATATGAAAAACTACAAGGGTTATGATAAAATGCCGTACTGTGAACCGTAAGTTTTTTTTGACACAATTAGTCTAAATTTATAAGCTTGCACTTTGGTCGTCTCGCAAGAACCTTATTTCTGAAAGGATTTGTTGAAAACTATCAATTACCTCGTATAATATTTGAATGTTTTTACTAGTTTTTTGCTTATCACTTCCTTCTTCTATGGTCGTTTCTAAGTTCGAAACGGTTTTTTTTCATTTTTGCTGAGACAGCAGATAAAGGAAGTCTGTGACACTGTTTCTTCCTTCATGAAATCGCGCTCTTGTAACTTCGTAGAAGTAGAGAAGTTTGCAAGTCTGAGACTACAGTTAATCGCGGTTAAATTAGTAGCTTTTTTATTGTGGATTTTGAATTTTGGCATGAAATCTGCGGCACTGACGATCTTTGGAAAGAAAGTAACAAGACAGTTTAAAGTTTTCTCTCTAAACTGAGTATAGTTTCAGATAAAGGATGTAGGAATCTTTAATAGCGATGGTCTCTTATAGTTCATACCAGTTTGAAACAGCTTATGAGTTTTTCTGTTTTTTTTTCTTTTGAGAAAAAGATTTTCGAAATATTTTTTAGAAAACCGTCTTGTGAATTCTATAAATGCTTATAGATAAACATTTTACAAAATGCACTTTCTTTAACTATTTCAAAAAGTAATTAGACAGTAAAAAGTGGTGGATAAATTATTCAAAAATTGTCTGAAAAATGATTTGCTTTGTAATATTAGGTATGAATTGAAATTTGTAAATTTCCTGACCAGTGTAGGAGAAGGTAAAAGTTAATAAATTAGCATTTTTTGTCAAAATTGAAAGTTGTGGGACTACCTTGAATTAGAAAAATGGGAATAACTTTGTCGTTTAGACATTACCCAAAAACTGTGGCGTCAGTAGTAGTTGATACCCCGGAAATGCGAAGGCTTGCCGAGAATACGAGGTTGCAAAGTCAGGTACCGTAATTTGATTATTTACTCCAACAAGACGTACCTCAACTCTGTCCTTATGCAATCTTCGGTTGATGTTTATCGATTATTTCTATACATTCTTTTATATCTGTGACTTTTACACATTTACTGTGGATTTGTCCTTATTACGTTATGTTGTGAGTTGCATTAGGTGTTAAGATTAGGGGGATATTTAAAACGACTTTTATTACCGAAAATTGTTGTACTTCTTGAAGGTTAAATACCATGAAGATTTTGAACGTTCGAAAGGTCAGAGGATACAGGTGGCAGACGATCCTGAAGTGATGAGACACTTGCGGAACACTCAAGTACAGTCTCAGGTAACGAATTCTATTACTTTTCGACCACTTCAACTGCTTCTCTTTTTTTTTAAAAAAATTTTTGTATTTGTCAGAAAAATGTTAATTAGTTTTCTTCAAACATTACGATTATGCAGGTCGCCTATCATGGCGATATTGACAAGAAAAGGCAGCAAGATGAGGTACGCCCAGCAGCTGAACAAGTTCAGCCGACGTCCCCGAACGGACAAAGTGAGTTGGCTTACCCTGTTAAAGTGCTCATTTATCCGAAACGGTTTTAACACTTTGAAGAATATGTAGTTTTTTTTTTTTGAAACTATTCCTCATATTTCTTGCCTTTAAAATTTTTGGTTTGCTTGAATGCCATTATTAATCATTACCTATTACGGGTTATAAACTCGTTTAGGATACGAAACTGTTTAGCATATAGCATTATCCACAATTGAAGTCTTCTATTAATTGTTCTACTAGAAGCAATACCATTTATAATTCCCCCTGTTTTTAATCTAAATGTTCATATTGTCTTCTTTTACACTGAAAAAAAAATCCGTTTCTTCATGGAAAAGAGAGTATTCCTAAATCGCTGTACGGAAAAGAATATTTGATCGCACAAAGGCGGTAGCACTGTGGTTTGTACCATTTTGTAGGTAGTCAGATAGGATTTGTTGTAGCGCGTTTTCAAAGAAAAAAAAGACATTTTTGATATGGACAAAAAAAGTATTTGTCAAAAATGTTTACAAATTTCTTTTTTATTTTTTTTATTGTTAAATTTGTTGCTAGCATTTGTTTAGTTCTTCATCTCGTTATGTATTGAATTAGTGATTATTTGATTAGATCAAAAAGATGATCTCTAACTAGGTTGTAGTAGTAGTTGACTAGTTCAAAGTATTTTAGTAATTCGTTGAAAACTAGTGCCACTTTGTTCTTTGTCAGGAATGCTTTTTAAGATTACTGCTTGTTATTGATTATATAAAATTAGAGAAGAAACTTTTATTTATGCTGGTGGTTCAATTTGAAATCAAAAGAAAAAGAAAGAAGAGGGATCTTTTCAAATGCCTGTTTTTCTCCGGTTCTTTTCATTGTTACGTTATCATCTTTTTCAGTTATTGGTGTGAAGGCGAAAAAATAACTGTTTTTTTTTTTTGGTTTATAATTCACTCTGATGGTGAGTTCTGAAAGCATCAACAGTAAAATTCAATGGTATCTGGGAACAAAGAGAAAAAAAGTATTTTTTTACGGTATATAGTTGAATAGTTCAGAAAAGAAAACCTGTCAATTTGGACTATGCTTCTCTCTCAGCCTTACTGCTTTTTTACCTTCATTTTTTCGCAAATGTCTGTGGTTTTGTTACCTCCGAATTAAAAAGCAAATGTTCCGCAGAACTGTTCTCTAGCTAAAGTGCAGTTTATTATAAACTTTTTTGGGCGCTGTTGGAGTTGACCTCCCAAGCATGTTTCTTCATCCTGAACCTGCTTTCATTTTTTGTGTAGGATGTTTTTGACGCTCCTAATTCATCTGTGATAGTTTCAGATCTATCTGTAGGCTTCTTGCTAACTATGTGACAGTCTGTTGCTGAAGTTTCGTTTTAATCCTCATGACGTTCCGTAACGTCACTTCTGTACTGGCGCGTGGTGCAATGGTTAGAAACTGCGTCTTAAAGCTTCGTGGAGTTGAACGCATTTTTCTTTATAGCGATTCTTTGCTGTTCTGAAGTATTTCTACAGCGGTAGCGGTGGTTCTAATTCGACAACATTCAAAATGCACGGATTTAAAAAAATGGACAAAAACCTTTGTCCAAAAACAGATTTTGAAGTATTTTCAGGTTGTTTTTTTCCACTACTAGTTGCTTCTGACCAGTGGACTCAAAAAAAAGCAGTGTGAAATCATGAATGGAGCAGGGGCTCTTTTTCCTACATACGCATAAATACGCACATTCATAATCTTTTCTTAACAGTTCTTCTTTGGTCACGTCAAACAAGAGATCGAAAAATCGTGAGTAAACAACAGAAACATTGCGATGGCATGGGTGCTTTTAGGCAAACTAGAAAACGCTTAAGGAACTTGAAAATTGTGAGTAGAATGTTGTGTGGAAAGTGGATTTGAAATTTCCAAATTTGTGGAATTACGCTTGCGAAGTGTATTAATACCCGTTACTCAGCAGGCCACTGCTAAGATTGTCTTATGCAAATTCTTGAGATTTAAAACGGAAATACAGCACTAGTCTGTTAGAAAGTTGGCAAGAAGTGCATGACAAAGTCAAAAAAAGTTGCGGATGGATCAAGAGTGGTCGAGAGTTTCAAGTGCAAAAGATAAAAGCAGGTTGTCGATTAAAGAAAAGCACAATTAAAAGTGGGTGCGGTGATCTGCAGTAGCGCCTTTTTTTCTGCATTTAGCTGATCAATCTTTCAAAGGCGTCAAGAAAAAAAAAGAACAAATTTAATCTTTTTTTGTTGACCAGAAATCTTTCACTCACTTGCTTCCAATTAGTTCTCTTTGGCTACGAGAGACACAACAGTCGTGGCCGTAGGCTGTTATGATAATCAGAATTGATTAAAATACAGATTTAATTGGTCATATACTGCTGTCATCAGTAAACAAACATTACTGTATATTGAAAAATGCTTCCGACATATCTGGGTAACTGCTAAAATTGTTACTTCTTTTGACTGCTGAAAACGATTTTCGAAGGGGTAATGTTGCGGCGCTGCTTAATTTTTTTATTTATCGGAAGATAACATCACTGCCTGATAAATAGGCACGCCAATAACATTCAGCTTCGTCTGTCTTACAGCTTTTTATAGAATGCGTTTTATCTACTGTTCTGCATGCGCTTTCAGTCTACGCAACCAATAACACTCCAGAGTCGCCATCGACTTACATCCCGACGGCAGCGGCTGCAGCTTCAACACCGTATAACAGTCGTTTGGCTTCCCAGACAGGAACTATAATATACTCATCTGAACATGGTGGAAGAGGTATTGTTGTAATAGATCAGATTTTTTTGGCTTTGGCTTTGGCTTCCCCGCTCCTTCGAATATGTACGATAGCCCAGCTGTCTTTATTTTATCTTTTTTTCTCTGCTCTAGTTTAACAGTCGTTTCTAACCGTGGAGCTTCTGCTTGAAATATTGCTTAACTTATTTCGGACTACCTTAATTTCGAGATTAGTTTTATTTTAAATGAACTGTTTTGCTTGACGAAATTCATATGTTAACGATACACTAAATCGAGCTTACAGCAATGAATGGTTTGCCATTCAGAGGCTGTAAGTTTGCAGTCAAAGACTTATCAGCTTGAAACTACCGTATGTAGCTAAGCCAGTATATTCTGGAGCTTGATTTTAACTTATTAACAAGCGCTGACAGGAGTTTAATAAGTTTAAATAGCCTCATTTTACTATGAATTTGGAAATTATTTTAGTTATTTCGGTTGCTAATCTTATTTGGTTATTGCTCTGAATTCAGGAGCATAGTGACTAAAAATCTTTTGCTTCAATCATACTCCAATTGTTATCTAATAAACGCACTTATAACAGTTTGCTATCGTTATCTGTAATTCTTTTTCCCCTGTAGATGTTGCTGTCTTGCAGTAGTTGCGGTTGTGGTTGTCATTGTTGTATTTGTTGCTGTTGTTTATGTTTTTGTAGAAGGCAGTATGTGTAAGCATAGACAAATTGTAGAAGGTTTTACAGAAAACAGTGTTTTAGTTCCTCCTCAACAACGGCAGGTGGGAAGTATTGCTGACTATGATCCTTTAAATGGTAACTGGGGTTCTGTTGGTTCCAGTCGTGCAGCAGAAAAAATCGGTCTCTTTTAAATGATTATCTCAGTTAACTGGTCAGTTAAAGAAGTAAAAATGGAAAAGAAACATAACGTTTTAATCTGCCTTGAATAAATTGGGTGGATTCTTGTGCCACAAACGCCTTTTTTTTGTTCTTTTCTTCTCCTTTTTCTTCTTTGACTTTAAACCTCACGGTCTATTTGAAATGATATGCAGCATCTCTGAAGAAATTGCTTACAGTTTAATTTCAGGTCAAAATAAAGGTTCTAAAACGTCACAGAAAGCAACGACAGGTAATCAGAATGTTGGAGGCGCAGTGAAGAATGAAACAAGTAATATGTCGACGAGAAAAGGTTCATCAACGGGATTGACGGTCAAGGCACTTTACGATTACACTGCTGCAGATAAGGACGAGGTTCTTGCTTTTGGAACAGCTAATTAACACACTATATCTCCCCACAAAAAGCTTTTCCGATCAAATTTTTTGCTGGTATCATTTAAGTAGAATTTTGAGATCCCCTGCAACTGCCTTTTCTCCATACTAGGTTAGGCTGTAGATCCAAGCTTTAATTGTGTTTGTTTTCGGCTAGTGTGACAAGTTATTTGTAGGTTTCGTTCGCAGAAGGCGACATAATTGTGAACTGCCAGAAGGTGGATGAAGGTTGGATGACTGGCACGGTACAAAGAACACTACAGTGGGGAATGCTGCCAGCGAATTACGTTGAAGTTATAAAACAACCTACCGGTCTTCATTATCTCAGCTGAGCTTTCGGTCTAATTTAGTTTTTCTTTTTCCTCACAATTTTGCTGACTAGTCCGTTCGTCCTGTGTCCAAAGCCGTCCCACTCTGCACATTTTGAGTGTTGTCGTTCTGGTGAAATATTCCGTGTTGTACATTTTGTATATCACGCATTCAATCTGCTGCACAAGCTGTAGTGTCGTGGAAGTCTGCTTTTGGAAAAACTAATCAGTTTGATATTTGCTTATTTTTATCTTCATTTACTACGTTTATGTTCGGTGTATCCTGCATTTTTTTGAACAAATAATAAGCTTCACTTTTAATTTCAGGTAAAAGAAAGTGAAGCGGGCCACGAACAGTCAGTATTTAAACAAAAAAAGTAAAGGTTAAGGAGCACAGTTGGAAATCGCGGTTATTGATGACCCGATGACTATGACTGCAAAAGGAATCAAACCACTTGTGCCTTGGACTCTCATAGCTTTATTATTCTTTGCCTTCAGCATTTAAGTATCATATAGTGAAATAACTTTACTTAAAAGAATCTCGTCTTGAATGGGGGCCTCAAAATGATTCAAAAACTTCTCGTCTGTTGTTTCGAAAAGGTTCACGTGCTTTGAAATTTCCCTCTTCCTCCTGGCTTTTATTCCGTACATTTTTCTTAGGAAGATTGCTGCTACTGGTACTGCTGTTAAAAAGAGGCCAAACTGTTGAGCATTGTGAAAAAGTGCAAAAAGAGAGAAATGGAATACTACACATTAACTGGAAGTTAACTTAATGCACTTATCCACACTACTTTTCTTTCCAATGGCCTTACCGTACATTAGAGGAAACAGATTATTAGTTCTAAGAGAGGGGGGCTAACGCTTACTAAATAAAAATGTATTTGTATAGTTTGTTGTATATAGATTGCTCAATTTTCATGTCGTGCCTTGTTTTGCTTCCAAGCTATTTGCAGAATGTTATGCTTATTCCTTGTTTAAAGTTTTACTCTAAGCAAACTGTCTTGTCTCGCGTATTAAAATGCAGAGCTGTCGAATGCACAGTTTTGCTGACGGCTGGCAAACACAAAGCGTGAGGCACCTTCAGCTCCGTCACAATCGTAAATGTGAGCTTGGCGTGGCAATCAAGCCACAAATGTACGGGCCGCTTAATCGACCTAAACAGGTAGTCTCCAACTCACCGCTCTTCCAACGCAGCGTGTTTGACGTATTTACGAACAGATTGTCCAGGACCCCTCCTCAGTTTTACCGAGAGTACAAGAGCACTGTAACTCCAACCACTCCATTACACCAAAAAAGCGCCGAGGAAGTTACGACGGCGTCCTAACATGAAGTAACCAAAAAGTTGGGAATGTATAAAAAAATCCTACTATTACCACAGATTAAGGTGCTTGGTCGGAAGCGAATTTGAAGAAATGTCAACGCTAGAGCCGCCTTCATTTTCCTGAGGTTTAATAAGATCCCAGTACTTTTTCCTTGATGAGCAATATTTCTGGTCAAGTATAAAACGCTCTACCAATTACAGTTGGAGAAGTATGTACTAGGTGTCACTAGCGAAAGGAGAGCAGATGTTATTTATAACTTAACTAGTCTTGGTAGTAGGCTAGTAGAAGGTCACGCTTCCTTTATTTAATAATTGTCACTGCAACATGTCGTCAGTCATTGCATCAGGGCGGTTTTCACTGCTTGAGTCCAACTCATTCATGTTCAAGATAACGCTATGCCATGATGAAGCACCAAGAACTTCAACAGAATTAAGCACTTCTTCAAAAGGGCATTTAAATTCCCTTTTCATCGATGGACTCGAGGCTGAAGGCTTACCATCATCCTTACCATCAGCCTTAAAAGCCGCAGGAACGCCGTTGCCATAAAGGAGGAACCAAAGATCGATCAGGTGGTTCCGTAAGCGGGACTCCTGAAATATTCATTAAAAGTAATAAAGAATGGAATATTTTTAGCCTTCTTTTACACCTACCCTGCTCTCATTAATAATAAAATACAGTGGGTTATTGGCACTATAGAAAGGAAGGTGTCACATTATGATAGGCAATGAAATTACTGTCTTCTCTGCTGTTATTATCGACCACAACCGTTCTGCAAAATTGGAAACTTCAGCGCTGTCGCATTTTTGGTGTGGTTCTGACCTAAAAATTTAGCTTCCCATTATAAACCACAATATCCCTTAGAGTTACAAAGGAAACTCGAAGGATGGCCTTCAAAAATAACTCACAAGGTTGAAGCAAAAAACGGCGGCTGAATGCACAGTAAAGTCGCTAGATGGTACCGTACTGCCGGCTCTTTATCATCAACACACATGTCTATGAGACGAGACAAAGTAACGAAGGCATCGGGTGTTTTTGCATTATGCACTATGTCAACTAAGCATCCCAACGCCGTCAGTCGCAACTATGGAATTATTTTTATAATCTATTAAGGATCCAGTACAAATATATATATAGGAGCATTTATATCTAATTTGGTGTGAAAATTTTCCCAAGCGAATATGCCCCTTTGTGGAGAAAAATTCCACCGATTTCAGCTCAGCACCACTGTCTTATACGGAGACTGCCGGAGGTTACTAAACCGGCCCCTGTCAAAGTTTGTTAGGCTTCTCTGTAAACTGTTTGAATGGTGTGTTATTAACAGCAGCACGTAGCCACAACTGCAGCAAGCACAACAGCAAACTCTTTAGAAATGCTTAATCTAAATCAAATATAAAGTGAAAAAAGTAGTTAATTGCACGAAAAATCAATCTACCTGCGTCTACAAATAGTGAGTTTCCAAAATAACTAGTCAAGGCACCTATCAAAATATTTCAGTTATGTAAAAAACATATACAGTGGAATCTACTCGTAAAAAACTAAAAAATCATTTGTCAACAAAAAATTTAACTTAAAAAGAAATGACAAAAGCGGCAAATAAGAAAATCAGTTTCAACGCCATACTTTAGCGCATATTTCAACCAGGGCTCCAAAGATTAACACAGGACAACAACAAGCAGCTAGCTATCGTTCTTGGGAAATAACGATTGTCAAAAGATCAGCAGTTTTCCAAAAATACGCCAAGCAAACAGCTCTCAATTTGAATGTAGGCCAGATATTTTTACAAGTTGCTAGCTGACTGCATCACTGTGATTTTGGTTCTGCCATGAAAAACTTATCACACCAGATTGGAATATAAAAAACAGGGGTAAGGAAGGAATAAATCTTACTGGAGTGTAATTTCCCGGTTGAGCAAAAGTCCAGAAGATTTTAGGATCTTGAGGAAGATGACCAAGCAACTGCATCTGTAATTTTCAAAAAAATTATCTTGTACAATCTTCGGCTCAAAACTCTTGGCAAGCTTTTGAGCCCTTCAGCTCCGGAAGCTCCGGAAAACGTTAGCTCCGGAAAAGGCGGAGGATCGAAAACTTCAGAAACACCTGGTAGATTGCTCTTAAAGCGCTTATACCAACTATACGCCCAAAACTGGGCTTTAGAGTATCCATGTTTAGAGCATGAGTGAATTCCCCCAAAACCTGCTTCATATCGGAATTTAAAGAATCAGGAGAAGCGCTATCACCAAGATTGTCAACGGGAACAAGAGTTGCGGCTAAAGCTTTAATAAGCGATGCGCGATAATGGTCATCAGAGTATCTATAAAGCAGAGGAGTAACGAATGGTAAAGGAAAGAAAATAAACTAAAGATGAACAGTAACAATCTTGCTCTTTAAAAATGCTTTCTAACAGAAAAAAAAGCAGAAAACCAGAAACTGCTTTACTCCTGAGCCCTCACCTGTTGATCGAATTATCATTATACAAAATTAGTCCCAGAAGGAAACGATGCACCTCAGCTAAAGCTGTATTCGAAGGAGTTCTAAGATATCCCATAGCTTGAGGAAGAGTCTGTAACACAGCGGGTAACAATTAGAAGCAAATTGCAAAGTCAAAGACCTTTATAGTTCAAATCAGGTTTGCATTTTATACACGAGTGACGACTTTTTTACGACATAAAAAAAAAAACTAAAGTTTCGGTAACATTCACGCCAAAAAGTTTCTATAAAATTGGCCAGTCATTAATTAGTCATTAAAAAAAGAAGAATCATTAACAGTGAGACACAAAAGAAGCATGAGAAGTAAATGAATAATGAATAAGAAAATCTATATATGCAAACCGTGTAACAGCTATTCCGCCACAACAATCGACACAACACGCCGAGTTTTAGAAAAGAAGAAAATTTCACAAAGACACTAAAGAAAAGCAAGCCTACCTGCATCAGAAAATATAATTCCAAGTTAGCTGCAGTTACAACGAAATTATTAGACTTCGGCATATGAGGTGCTGATTTGCATCCGTAGAGCTTTTTAAACAAGATTAATAACGCTGGTGGACCAAGCCACGTCTCCGAAAGCTTATTTACTACTTCAGTATGTGAAAGAGCTGCCCGACAACGAACACTAAAGCAAAACACATTTTAGAGAATTGAAAGAAACAAATACCCTAATAAAATTTCTTTCGTCATGAACAAATAAAGTAAATATTACCGATAAAAAAAGCCCTCTGTCTCAATCGCTTCAAGTATTATTGAACGAACATGCGAACTCGGAAAACGCTGAAGTATTTCTAGCGCCTGTAGTTGAGCGAGTACATCTCTTTCATATTTTAGCATGTATTCCCACTGATAAATCGGCTGCTGAATTTTAATTTTACGAAGGAGTAACAAATCTGGATCAATCCTGAAAGAAACTTCAGAACTGATGTCAAGACGAATCACTAAAATAAATTCTTTGGCAAGCACTTGCCTAACCCATAAAACTGGCGAGTCCAAATCCATGTTTGTTAAGTCGATTTCCAGTTCTTCACCAGTTGAAAGAGGTATTTTCTTTTTTTTCTGACGACGACCCTTCAACAAAATACCTTCTTAAATTACTCATAAATGATTTGAAAAATTCCTCTAGTCTCATAAACCAAAAAAGAAAAAAAAAAAAATTATTCATACAACCAAACCTTAGAGTGACACTGGAGATCATGGGTTGAATGGTCAGTGTCTATTTGTATTGTATGAACAAAGGAACCATCAAGTTCTTGAACAACAACAGTGACTGGTCCAACATAACTATTAAAAAACATTTTAAAACAGTCGAAATAAAAAAACTACGCAATCTAAAAATAAAGAATATCCGTTTAAAAGGAAAATGGAGTGGCTAATGTTCCTAAAATGCTTTCTACGATTTCACATATCAAAATTATGTCTTCATAAAAATTCACGAGGGGGAGAAATGCCATCAAAAAAAAAAAAAAAAAAAAAAAAA